GTTAATAGAGGAAGAGGGGGTGGGCTTTTAATTTGCGAGTTCCCAGGGATTGTTACGAAGAACAAAGGTGGAGGAAGCAGACTTCTCGTGCTGCGTGGAGGTGCTGAGAGGGCCTTTTGAAGATGTAATTGTTTATAATTGTCCTGTTCTGTTTTTAGAGACGGTTGGGAAAGATCTCACAAACCATTACATTAAATTTGCTCCCTTGAATTGGTGCTTTCTTTACTGTAATCCCTCATGTATATTAACTAAACCGGATCTGAGTATTTCTGCTTATACTTGTCTACTTTTTTATGCTTTGTGGGTAGGAATGGTAAGGACTAAGCATTTTTCTCCCCCATAATAATCTCTGACCTTTCCTGTGCAAGTGTAACGATTAAAAACTTGGACCAAAATCTGCTTCTGATTCAGACACCACCTGTCCTGGTATTACAGAAAGGTCAGAACGGATTTTCAGCAGTGGAAGAACAAAAAGCATTAGAAAATCACACAAAGAGAAGTTTATGCAGAAGATACAGAATGGGATCTGTTGTTAGCTTCTGTTTAATTTATTTATTTATTTATTTATTTATTTGGAGAATAGGAGTGATACTAATCAGGGTAGGCATGCCAGCAAGGCAGTGGGGAAGAGCAGTGAGACAGCTGCGATGAAGAGATCCCTCTGCCTTCACTGAAGATTAACCGATCTGCGTTGGATGCACCGACATATGATTGAGAAAAGGGTAGTCAAGCAGAAATAGCAGTAGGAAGGCAGTATATTACATACTGGAGAAGTAGCTTGGTGTCTAGCCTTAATTTTGACAGTATCTTTATTACTCTGAGCAAGTTATTTAATATTTCCATAGCCATCTTTTTTACTACTATTTATAAAGTCAAAGCAATATCTCCCCAAATACGTAAGCAAGCAGCTGTGATGATCTATGAGTAACTGCCTATATAGTTAAGAAGTCTGTGGAAACCTGTTGGAGGGGCAGAGGTGTTTTCTGTAGTCCTGGGATCATGCTCTGCTCTTTCACTTCCCAAAAGAAAGGAGATTCAAGACTTCTGATTTGCACAAGGAGTACAGACTGACCATGGAGGCTCTCGGAGTAGTGGCTGTCACCTGGGTGAGCAGTGCCCCGGGTACACGGAGTTCCCTGCTTCGGGGATGTCCCTTCAGTGACCCTGGTGCTGGAAGATCCCTTTACAGGGTGGGTAAGGAATCCCTCTCAGACCAGTCAATGAGTTTCAAGACATTTTGGTTTTGAGAGGTCTTAGGGCTAACGCTTGTCAAACGTATATCTGTGAACTCTGTCAGTGTGCCATTAGACTTGGGTTAGTAGGGTCCTATTGCTGGGTATGCAATATAACAACAGTACTTTGTGAAGTGTGGGACTGAAGACTCAGGAGATTCATTTTCCTTAGCTAAGAAGTGGGAGTGCTGCAACCCTGCCCAAGAGCTGGCTGGCTGGTCTAGCAAAGCCAGGTGGGCAGCTAAGCACAAACCTAGCTTCAGACGTGCTGAAGGGGGCAGCGTGCTCAGTACCTGGTGTGGCGAAGCGCTGCAAAAATGCACGGCTCCAGAAAAGCTTAAGGCAAGGAGGCAAACTTCAATAATGCAGATGCCGCCCAGATGTATGTGGGGAGCCTATCCATACTGCCAGTCTGTTGTTTTCTCTTCTTAGCAAAGGCATGATAATTCAGGGGTGTAATAAGCATAACTAAGAAATCAACATTTATAACATTTTTAATAGCCGATATGGTTCTGAAAAAAAAAAAAATAAAAAAAAATTATAAACCCTCCTAGAGTACAGTTCTTGGCAATATTACGTATTTCCACTACTGATAGCCTAGCAGGGGTATACCAAAAAAATTAAAATAATAGGTCAATTTTAGTTGTCTTACATATTTCCCAATAATTAATAATTAAACTATGGCATTCGCAATTAAAAGTATATTCACTGCATCTCTGAGTATAGGCTCGTAGGGACAGCACGGGACTGTGTTGCAACATAAAATACGTATGGCATAATTACACCAGGTCCTCTGTGGTTGCTTCTTTTAAGCACGGGAGGGGTAGGGAGGCCCGTAAACTTCACTTTTTTCTTCTCCTTTTTAGAGAAGTTGTGGGGAAAGTGCTGTTCCAAAATGTATGACTAATGACTGCTCTGTGATTGATGCAATGATGGGGGGGGGCAGGGGGGGAGGAAGCCCTAAAAATGGCAGGGGGGTGGCAATAGCAAGTGATGAGCTTGTTGTCCAGTCCCAAGCACAGAGCGTGGCACAAGTAATGTGCACGTGTTGGTTAGGTTGTACGAGGTAGTCTTGACTCTGGGAGAAACAAGACAACTTTATCCTGCTTTCAGCAAAGTGAGCGTGTGAACGTCATCCCTTTGGTGCGAGTCGCTTGAGGATCCACTCAGGCCTGAGCCCCGGCCACAGGCACAGGCTGGCAAGAAGCGAGCTGCAGCAGCAGCGTGCCCTTGCTCGTCCCTGCTCGCTGCCCCTTCGTGTGTGCTGGCACAAATCACCAGGCTGTGAGCTGGATCGCCGGCTGAGCTCTCGCAGCTGGCAGCTTCTGCTCCCCCCTTGTGTTTATCTAGGACCGGAGAGCCTTGCTGCGGTGGGTTAGGGGTGAGAACGGGCAGCTGAGATTGAAGAGGAAGGTGTGGAGGTTTCTGAAGCTGGTTCTGCTGACAAAGTCAGCGTGTGGAGGAACTACACCCTAAAGCAAAAGGTTCAGGAATGTAGAAACGCTAGAATATAAACCATGAAAGGGTGTGGGGAATTGCTTCCAGGTTTGGGTTTATTCTATGCTGGAAAGAAAGTTTTGATACTTTTTTTTTTTTTTTTTTTTTGATTGGTTGATTTTAAGATGTTTATCTGCCGAACTGCATTTCTTTCAGTTTTGGTGCGTACGCTGTGCAATGTCATAGCAAGCTGTCTGAGCCTGGCTTTCAAGAAGGAAGTAACACAGGCATATATTTCAAACGCAAACAAAAAGTGGGAAAGTGATAAAAGGAAATAAAAACAGAATTTGAAGGGAATTTGAATATGAGCAAAACAGAGTGGCTAGAGAAGAGGCCACAAATAATTCTGTGCTGGTAATGCTCAACAAAAGCAAGTATTGCATCTGTGTTCTGCAGAGCAGGTCCGTAAGGACTGGTGTCCTGAAGCCAAGAAGAACGCCTGGTGGATATCAGCCTCATTCTCCTGCTCTTAGTGCAGGGAGCTCCTGCTAAGGTCAAGTGTATCAGCGTCAGGAAAAGCTATGCAGATCTAAGAAGGGTTTGATTTTGCATTTTGCTTTTTAAACTAAGAGGGAGAAAATAGGTTACGTACTGTGAAGCACTTTCATTAGTGTGCCAGGTTGCCCAGAAGTGTTTGTGGCATCATCTTCAGCATCAACAGCACAAGAATTTAATAGGAGAGAATATTAATTCATCTGCTGTGTCTTACAGGGAGGCAAAGAACAGCCAAGACTTGTGTGCTTTCCCTGAAAAAGCATCTTAGTGTTTCAGAATGCATTATGAAAGATTACCTGAGGTGATCTGAAAGTACATGGTTTTGAACTTGAAGAGGGTCTACAAAAGAGAGAAAAGAGCTTTCTCTTTTCTGTTTTGACTCATCTAAAGATCTGAAGGATCTTAACCCTAACTGCAGGAGAGCCATGTTCTCATTTTTGTCCAAGGAATCTTGACTCTAAGCAGCTTGTAAGGGAAAATAACATTTAGTCAGACTGGATTTCATATATTGTGTGTATATCCATGTATATTCAACTCCAATGCCTAATCCACAATCAGGAAAAAAACCTTTCTTTTCAAATGTCTTACTGAGACATGCTTACCCGTGGCTTGACAGTCAGTGGTAATGGGAATACCAGCCCACATCTCAGTCTTTTCTCTAAATCCTGGCACAATTCACCAAATGCAAATAATATTTTTTTTCTTTTATTTAAACAGCTATCAATTCATCTCTTCATACAAAAACACAAATAAGGGCTTGTGTGTTTATAAATAGCAAAGCTAAATTTCTAAAATTGTTGAAGAAGGGTTTTTGAAGTGATTATCACTTCATTGCAAAAGTGGATATTTATGTGTTGTACTGATATGAAGTGTTGTGTTTTTTTTTTCAGTTTATGATAGGCAATGCAGGAAGTGATCTGTCATTCACATCCTCTAATGTTTTCCTTGATGTGATTTTGCTTTGTAGCTGCATGTAGCATAGAGGTTTGGATTAAAAATGTTTTCTGCTGGATTGTGCTTATGGATAGTTTTCAGAATCAGGAGAAAAATGGTTCCCCTCATCCCAAAGATGGGGTTCTGGAGAAAGTTTAGGCCAGGGTAAACTGGCAGCAAGGACGGATGAGACTTTGGACTTCAAAGTTTTAAAATGGACAGCGAGTGTCGCCTTGGTAATGATAACATGCTGGTTGTCCCCTTTCTAAATGTCCCCTTTCAAAAATGTCTTCCAAATTTGCCTGCAAATGCTCGTTAGGTATTTTAAGTGCCCAGTAAAGATTTGGTAATTCTGGTAGGTGTGATTTGTAATGATTCCATCTGCCCTGAGCACGCTCCACTCAGTTGCAGTCCTTAGTGTAAGGACTGTGGGTGCTTTCTAGCTGCCAGGTAGATATTGCTGTGCCAAGGAATGCTACAGTGGATGATTCATCAGCTATGCTATTTTTTTCCCAACAGAAAATTATACATATACACATAAAATTTGGGTGTTTTTTTTTGTTTGTTTTGTTTTGTTTTTAGTTAGAAGAGCAGCCTTAATTATTACATACACCATTTCTGAATGCTTGAGTTTTGAAAAATAGGTATTTTGCTTCCATTTGAGCTTTTTGAGGCATGGCTTTTTCAGTTGCAATACATGCAGCATATGGGCTGTGTTTTGCAAAACATGTTCTTCTGTCCTTTTAAGTTAATGCTCTTTTGTGTTTAAATTGAATGTGTTGGCTCTCAAGTGGAATTGAATAATGCAAGTCCTCAGTGTTGCAAAATATTTTTGTTTTTCAGTTCTGAACACAAAGGAAGTGAAGCCATAAATTTAAAGAACAACCAAAAGGAAAGCACAACTCTTCCTGCACTTTTGAAGGTAGGATTTTTATTTAGTAATACTGAATTGAGCTAAGCTTGCCACATCTGCTTGTGGCTTTTTGTTCTGTTCTGAGGTTGGAGGTCTTCATGTATTGCATTGTAGCACACAGTTGCCATATTCATGGTTAGGGCCCATCATGCTATGGTACACATGCAAAAAATAGACTGTCTATGCTTCTTGTTCTTGAAACAAAGTTCATATCTTTACTTACATTAAATAGATGTAAGTCTAGTGCCAATTCCACATGCAGTCATCCAGTGATGGATGAAGCCAGTGTTTTTATCAAATTCTGATTTAACAATCACCCAAAGAACCATTTCTATATAATTTATGAATATCTAACCAGAAAGAGTTTTCCTGAAGTTGCACTGGTTGCCAATCAAAGTGCTGTAAGAACTTTCTGCTGAAATACTTATGCATGTTGGCTATTCTTCACCAATGTCATCCCTGTTAATCAAGCTTGTCTTATCCTGTAAGCATTCTACTGAAAAAATGGATGTGCTTCTATGTGATGCTTTCTCCTATGAGTCATTTGACACAAAGTGGTAGCTGCCAGTAAAGTTGTGTTTAGATTTAGTCAAATATCATAAATAGTTCTATGCAAGATGGGGCCTGGTGATACAACCCTCTTCCAAATAGTTGCTGTCACATCATGCCCTGCACAGAGTAATTTTAGCAGTTCATTCACTAAGTACTTTTTCTACTTTTTTGTTCCTTTTTCTACATTAGTAGTAGTATAAGTACTGCAGAAACTCTTCTGGCAATTTCCCTGAAAGGGCCTTGACTAGTCCACCAGATTTATTTGTGGGTGTAGTAGGCTTCTTAACAGACTGATTCAGAGGTTTCTATCCTGTGTTGCCTAGACTGAGCACTAGCAGTATATGGGGAAGGAAGTGGTCCTTTTGCTGTATGGCTGACAGTCACTGTATAGTGACTGTCTTCGCTCTCTAGGGACTATTTGGAGGGGTTTTGCCCAAGGTGAAGAAATTTTGCAGTTGCCTGTGCAAAGACCTAGGTCAGTAGCTGGGTTATTAGATAAAGGTCAATCCTGTGTTGAATGTAATCATTATGCATCAAGGTGAGAAACAGCACAACAGCATTTTTTCGGAAGCCCTGTGGATTCAAGCCAGCCCTGTCTGAGCTGGGCTCCCACAACATGCTACTGAATGCCTTCCTGTTGTCATAAATCATGGACTATTGCTTTTATGGTTTGAAACACAGGCAGAAATGATTCTTTCAACCAGAGGAGATCCTACTATAGTAGAAGCAATGTTTTTGTGTTAAAAAAAAATAAAATCTTATTTTTTCTGAGTTAGATCAGGGAAAAGTTCTAAAACATTTTCCTTTTGAAGAAGGTTTTGACTGGGGGGGAGGAATGGTTTAGCATATGTGCACAGGACTTCAACACAAGGAACTGCTTAAACAGAAGTACGAACAGGGTTAGATTTCAGTGAACAAGCGGGATGCATAGGTGGAGTGCAGGGAGCATAGCAGGTTTAAATTATCTAAGAGTGTCTTTTTTTTGCCAAAAACTAAATCTCCTTTGGTACGTTTCTAATTCACAAGAACCTAAGTTTTGATTTTTTCCTACTGAATCTAAATTCATTGCACTCAAGTCTTCTACTCAGAACTTTTTGCATGTTAAAAGTTGGTGCCAATACTAATGCTGTAAAGTTTTGTTCCAAGTAGCTGCTCTGTTCTTTGTCTTGCCATTGAAAGTTTTTATTTAATGATATTGTCTTTGATTTATGCTTGGCAGTGTTAGATTGTGTGTTACGTTATCTTTGAAATAATACTTGGTGTTTGGCTTTGTATAGGCTTTATAAGAGAGGTGTGGCTTTCGTATGACTAGAATGTGCTGGCTGTTCAAACGTACCGAGAACTTCCCGTCCAACTTCTTTTTTTGCTTTCTTAAGCTGATCAAAAATCTTCGTATACACTTCAGCAGTTTCATAGGCATACTAATGTGTACTCTTAGTACTACAATTTTATCTTGTGTGCATTTAAATTGCAACTAGGTAATAAGAAGTGATTTAGAGAGGTAGCCCACCTCACTCCCCCCCCTTTCTTTTTGGTGAAGATGTTTTTTTCCTGGCACTGCTCTCTCCAACACACACTCTTTTTTTTTTTTTTTGTAATGCCATACTGTTCAGTGCCTGACATTGTTCAAAATAAGTGGTCTTGTGCAAAGATACCTAGAATGCAGCTGAACAGTTGGAGAGAATTGGGGCTCTGTCTCATGTGAAAGGAATAGTGTATGGTATGGAAAATCACTCCAGTTTCCTTCATTGAGTCATCAAGGTAACCATACTCTGGAAAAAAAAAAAAATCTTTTGTAGTTGTAGGAAGTGTACTTTGTGAGGAATTTGTAAATCTGTATATCTACTGGATTGGGTCTGGGCAGGTTTCAGTACATACCCATATCTCTGAGCTATGTTCCTTCTTATTTCAGGTAGACGGTGACTGCAAATGGATACCATATTGTGTCTGTCTGCCACCAAGTTAATGATCTGTCATGTTTCTGGTAGACTTACATGCTGTGATGTATTTATATTCATTGACCATCTCAGCAGAAGGCCGGGGGCGACATAGCAGGGGAACTGCAATGTCTCTGTCTTAACAGCAAAGGTCAGAGATGTAAATGATAACTGACAGGGTGAGTGGAGCTGAGAAACATGCTGAGCTACCATAGCCCTCCGGCTGCTCTGAGGGCTTGCTTACCAGTTGTGTACTTTACACCCTTTTTTCTTCCCTGTGATGAAATCTTTAGCTCAGAGGGAGAAGACGATACTTTAACACCTTAGGAAAATACAAAGCCTTATCTTTTTAGTGCCAAGGTGACATTATCACTCATCATTTGATCACTTTCAAGAAAGTATTATTGAAATATATTTTCTTTGCCTATTAATTCATTGCCAGAGCCTGCCCCTGTTTATTTACAGATTCTGTTTGGGTTCAATTTCTTTGAATTAGAGCTGCAAACAGTGCTTTTTCTGAGTAAATGCCCCATTTGAATGGTGTGATTGTTGAACACGTGGCTGTGTGGATGTAAACAGTTCTTGAACTTGATGTTTCCCGTTCTAAGCATCTGCATTGCGTAGTGTCCTGCACATGCTAGTGTATCATTAACCTTCCTTTTAGCGGACTCTGTTTTTAAAAGGAATATTGCAACAGTGTTTCCTGCAAAAGCAGGTGAATACATCTTTACAGTTTTTGGTAATGCCCTGAAAACAGAGGTTTACAAGTGGAAGGTAGGTCTTGTTTGACTTGAATGGCACAGCTACTAATTGAGCTAATGCTGCTCCTGGAATGAGCCGCATACTGGATGATGTCTTATTAGTATAGTTTCGAAGAAATCACACAGCACTCTTGTTGTACGTGCTTGTGCCACAAGTCTAACCTGGGCTTCTACCTGTATTACCATACTGTAGTCGTAGCAGCAATGACTGGTTCAATATCAGCAAATTGTTTAGATCCCAGGCTGGCCCTATCTGAGGTTCTTGTCCAGCTGGGGCTTGTGTCAGCAGATTGACTCACCTGACAGTCATCCCTCGATATTCTTCCTGTAACGGTGCCTGGAAGAAAAAAGCACGTTCTCCCATAATTGATCAGAAAAGTAGTCTTAAACATCTTGGCACAAGAACTGCCTGTGAGCTCTCTGAGGCAAATGCAGAAGTTTGAGAAGGTAGGTACAAATGTAATCTACCAAGTGCGTAATTTATACCTCAGTATTTTGATACCTTTAAATATTTTATAATTCAGCCCAAAGGCTCAAGCCTGGGTACTAGTTGCCTGGATTAACCAGAGACAGTCTCAGTCTTCATAGAAGATGCAGAGCCAGAAAGCACTGCAGAGATTATCTAGCCCACTCCTCTGCCCCAAGGTGAGACCTCTGTATCTGTCATACCTGATAGAAGTTTGTCTGACTTGTTCTTAAAGACCTCCAGGGATGGAGATCTCTAAGATCTCTGCAACTTTGTCAGACAACTGTCCCACTAATTTCATAAGCCCTCTAATTAGAAACTCTTTTCTCAACATCCAATCTAAAGCTTGCTTGCTACAAATTAAACCAGTTGCTAATTGGCCTGTGATAAGTACTCCTGTATACTATGAACATTGAGAAGAGATAACTCTGCAGCCCTGCTTTCTCACATTAATTTAATTTCAAGGTAATATAAAGATGGCTGTATTTAAATGGTAGGTAAAGTATTAAGATATGATGTCAAAGACTGCAATTATGTGAGAAGATGGAGCCAGATTCTTATTGGAGTTGCAACAAGCAGGACAAGAGGCAACGGGTGCAAATTGGAATGTGGGAAATCCCAGTTAGCTATGACAGTTTATCTTACTTTTTTCCCATTTTACCGTAATGGTGGTCAAATATTGACAAAAGTTACCCTAGAAAGTTGTGGGACCTTTATCCCTGGAAATATTCAACACTCAGCTGGCTGAAGCCCTGCTCTAACTGGAGCTGCTTTGAGCAGGAGCTTAGACTACGTGACCTCCCCAGCCAGATTCCTCTCAGCCTAATTAGTTCTGTATTTCTAGATCACATCAGTTTCCATCTAGCATGTAATTCATGTTTAAAAAAAATCTTTGAATTTGGTGAATATATGTATCTGTTCTTACAGAGTGTCCCTAATTCTGACTTTATCATTAATGTTAAGTTCTACAAAAACAAATCAAAATTAAGCCTAATGTCTTAATTTACCACATACTTTTCTGTAATGCGTTTTTATTTCATATTATCTTTATTTCATATGTGTGTTGTCTAAGTTATATCAGCTCAGCATGTGTGCGAATGGTTGCTGAATACCTCTGGTATAGACCTAATAGTTAGAAATGAGAGAGATTATTTGACTTTCAGGAGTCAAGGGAGGTGGAATATTACTGCCAACCATGATTTAACAAAGAAAAAAAAAAAGTTGCTGCTAAAAGTGTAGTTGTTGCTGCTTACAGCAGTGAATGAAAAGCAAAACCAAAATGTTTTGGATTTT